CTTTCTCTAGTTGCAGCGGTTACGAGACATTTTTTTATACAGAATTTAAATGATTTCGAAAGAAAATTTTTGATGGAAGAAATGACAGAAATTAAAGGAAATTTCTAAGGTTTAAGGTTATTTTAACGTAATTCTGCTACAACACACAGTAGAAAAAAATATATACTTTCATGTAAAAAAAAGCAGGTGACTTTGAAAACGAAATTAAAAAAAAAAAAAGTTGGCATTAATAGACAAATTCACCCTTTGAAACCATTTAAATTACGTGTAGAAATTCTCTCGTACCACCATGGCTAGGGAAGATAATTAGGTGGACTCTTTTATGTGGTCCACGCTATATTTATTCACCATTAACGACCGTTGTTAATTTACCTCACGGTGATCGTCGACGATCTCGGTGACACCGAGAACCTGTTAAGACACAGTGTTCACTCTGCAGGTGCATGATTTTATCTAATATATTCCAGTGGAGAATTTTCATCTGTTCAAGAATACAGCCTTTACCTATTTAACAGGTGAACGTTGAATCAGTCGAAGGTGCTAGCTCGATTCAACGTTACACCATTGATCGCTCCTTTTTTTCCACGTTTCGTCATCAGCCAAGAGATATGTAGTTGTTTGCTAGTTGCGTCCTTGTGCTCATACGATTAGCGGCGCGATAACTCCGTTTGCTTTGGCTTCGCAGGTGACATTTCTCGATAACTGAAATCACACTTTAAACTGGCCGCCTAAAGATCGTATCTTCGGTGGTTCCCTTTATTCCGAGTTTCGTCCGACCGATAAATTCTAACTACACTCGACTTAATCATCGTCGATATTCCCAACGTTCTTTCCAAACGAAATATTTTTCTTCTCACCGAAACGAAACACTGTACACGTCAATTCCTAGCGAGAAAAACAAGAAATTTTCCAAGAACTTTCCAAGTCGAGGGAGATTCGTCTTGCCAAAGTTTGTGAATCCTATTCGAGGACTCAGCTCTCGCTTGGTCGAGCGAAACGTAGAGCTAGCATTGGCTGAATGGGGCGCTATTCGTCCCACGACACTCCATTCAGAAATAATCGATCGTGGCTGCGGCGATAGGACGAGGAAAAGTACGAAATAATCCTGGCCTCCTCAGGCTTCGTACTAAAGCGTAAAGAACATAGAGAGTGTGAGAGAGAGAAAGAGGCACGTAAGCCAGAATATCTGAAGGAGCGCGGGAAGAATCGGGCGTATTACTTGCTCGCTCGGCTGTAAATTGCTGGCTCGCTGAACAATCCCATTTACACGAATAATCTGAGAGCGAGGACGTCGAGTGGCTGTGTCAGATGTTCGCGCAACGATCGCCCCGTGTTAAGTCGATATAAACGGGCCTCTTCTTCGCGAAATATTGGATAGAAAATAGAGCTAGTGACGAACCTCTATGAACCTCTTCTTTCGGGATGCAGGAGAAATTATTCTTACTAATGATCTGTTTCCTTTTCGCTTTCTTTCGCCCTGGCAAAATCCTTCGAATACATTTTGAGGATAATCTACAAGTTACTCTTAACCCTTTGCACTCCGTTGTCGCCGCCGTGGCGACATTGTAAGTGGAACCAACAGCTCCGTTGTCGCTGCCGCGGCGACATTGTAAGATATATTTTTAAGAAAAATTGAACGCCTACAAAGTATCTTCCACAGAGGCGCACTCGCACCATTGTAAATAGTCTCGGAGTAGCTGGTAGCCCATAGTAAAAATGATTCAGAGTTTCTGGTAAGTCATATTAAAAATTGCTCGGAGTGCAAAGGGTTAATATGTTACACTCTTTTCGTAGAATTTTCTTTTAAATCTAAATTAAGATTCTATTTTTAATACGTTCACCGTTGACTACTCGAGAGTGAAGCATCGATAGACACGGTGTACAGTCGGTGGAAGCGATATAGCGAGGTAGTAAATTGAAGCATTAATTCTTAACTACAGAACACATGTCTCAGAGGCAAGTTTGAATTTTTATTTCACGATCACAACTGTGTGGAAAATTTTCTGACGTTTGAGTATTTTTAATTAACTCTTTCGGTGTCTTTATGGGCATCCGGTTAGGGCCAAAATAAGTAGTTTATTTTATAAGGGTGTCTTTATAAAGACATGAAAGGTATGGACATCAAAATATTCGATTTCGTCGCATATTACTCACGAATTCAGTATATGAGCCGTTGTTTTTGAAAGTGGTATAAGTTCACTTTTTTTTATTTTTTTATATCTGACTAAAACTACCATTAATTCATTTTTTCTTAAAATGGACTTAAAAAAAAAAACGGCTTATATGTCTTTAATCGTTGAAGTTTTTGTTAGTATATCATTTGTGATATTAGTGAAAAAGTTTTACGGTTCAGTTTCAAAGTGGATATTTCATCTGTTACTATTCAGGACGACGATTCGGATAGTATTGTAACAGTGGCTAACAGTTTTTTATTTTGACTCTTTTCAACACGTTCGCTGCCACCGACGCAGCATATGCGATCCAGAATGTATCATTCAGCTTGTTATAGATCTTCTGGTGGCAGCGAACATGGTAAAGCTTACTACATATACCAGAAGCATTTCCTGAAAATTAAGTAAGAAGAAATTAAAAAATACGAGCAAACTGCACGTTTTCATACTATTTATAATAAATAATGCGAATGATATAAATCATAATATAGTAGGCATTTCGTTTACCATACACTCTTGTTTTAGTGAGCATCGAAAGGGTTAACAATAAGTAGCACACTGTTTCAATCAAAAAAAATATATTCCTAATTTTTGATGTAACATTTTAAACATTATTTTTATAAAATATTATAGAGACCTTAACGAACAAATATAAATTATTAAACAAAGTGGTTACATTAAATTGATCTTTATAAAGCAGTAATTTAATAAATAGAATTGCCAAGTAGCCTGAGAGACAGACCACACATCTGTGACAACGTGTTCAAAGACAGATGTCTGTAGTTAAAGGGTTAAGACGTTTTAGAAAGGTTCGAGAAAGTTTTGTCATTCTTTAACAATGACACTACCCAGGATAATACCAGAGGCTATTGTCATTATCATTATTCCAAGTAAACATCATCGGGAATACAAAGTGAAGCTTCCTAGAAAAAAAGGCGATTAGCTATTCGTAGCCAGCTGGTGTTTGTATCATCCCGAAGTTTCGATTGTAATCCGCTCTACGCTCTCCATTCGAACAACCCAGCCGGATGGACGTTGAATTCTCTCATTCAGTTTACGTTTTTCGCGCAAAAGTTATCGACTCGTTATTCTGCCCGTAATCAGTGGGGATTTTGCGAGAGCGGAGTTGTTCTATAAAATGAAATCCCTTCAATAGTCACATTCATTTGTATCGTCCAAACTATTATACTCGATACACAGAAGAAAAAAAGGAAGAAAAAGGGGGATATATTTTCTCTCTGTAAAGAATATATGGAAAGATGTCTCAGGGACGTTTAATTAGCGACTTATCGAGAGACAACGCGTTCTGACTAATTTCAAGAATAGTAAAGACTCAACTGAACGCCTTTATATACTTGCCTCGTGTGCGACAAATGGACGAAAGGTTCGCCCGCTGAAACCGTCTTCCCTTGCTCGTGGAAATTAACGGGAACCGCACAAAGCATAGTTGCACCAGACTTGTCTTGTAGTCGTTCGCTGAACCAGGGCTCGTTAACGCGCTGAATAGCCTCCTCTCGCATTGATATTAATGAACGTTTCTGCGGGGATCTAGTAGTCTAATTGCGGAATTTAGGAGAGCAAACTCTTTTATTTCTCTTCTGGTCTCTGGGTGTAGATTATAGCGGAGGTTAGGTTACGCGGAGGCTTAATAAATTGATCATTGCCGAGGTAAATTTTTCAATAGTCAGGTTGAATTGATCGATAGTCAGGTACTATTTTAACGAAAATGGTTTAATTTATGTTTCTTTTTTTGGAGACCCTTAAGATGAATACAGAGGAGCGTGTAGCAATAGTTCTTTGCCGAATTAACTTTCAGAATTTTGTGCATAGATGTCTTTTGGAGATTGAGTCTGTGTATGGATTTTCATTGATGATTTGACTCACAGAATTCATCTTATTCTCTGACGCACGTGGTCGTCGTATGTAGAACCCGTTCGTTTAAATTTCTTCACTGGTCTACGTATCGTCTTATCTATTGATTCTGCTTTCTTCAATTTCCTTTCAAATTTATTTCTGATTTAATTACACTTCTTTCCTTGGATTTGCCAGATAAGTATTGTTACACGCTCTTCTGTATTCATCTTAACCCTTTGAGGACGACAGACTCGTATATCGGTTCACAAAAAAACACTATGAACACAACCAGTAAACTCGCAATTTTAAGCAATAAAAATAGTTGGAGTGATCGTGAACTCATCTGTAAGTATATTTGCCGAAAATTAAATTTTGATATGATTCAGTGTTGGATTATTAGTAACAACAAAAGTGATCAACATACTGAGACAGGTTAATATAAACATATATAGAAGAATGATATAGTAATCATCTGTTTAGTATGGGTGGATACTGATTTTTTCTTTTCTTTTTTTTCTTCACGTCTTGTCGAGCTCTTATCATTGTGTTGTGACGTGCCTTCCTCGCGTATAAAATCAAGAATAGCTTTATAATTGAAATACCACATTTTAATTTATTCCCTAAATCCAATATTCAGTTTGAAAAAAAAAAAAAAAGTAGTGACCTTACAAAATAATCAGTACTTCAACATGGCATATAGTCCTCCGTCCGCAAAGGGTTAAGGGTCAGCAAAAAGAAACACGAGTTAAACCATTCTCGTAAAAAATAGTACCGGATTTTTTGGACTACCCACTCCCATTGGAATTTTTATAATTTCAATCTTTCTTTTCAGAACATATTTTTCTGAATTTCTTTTAACATCTATAGTCGAATAAAAGAAACCCTCCAATTTATACGAAATAGTTTCTTCTATCCAAAGGACACAGGCCTTTTGATCGTTTCCAGTTACCCAGAAGAGAATCGATCAGATTCCACAAGCGAAGCTTCCTGTTTTTCGGTTTTGCACTGCGGTAGCCTTTCCTCGCGTTATCGCGAACGATGCACCGACAACCGGTTCGCCTTTTATTGCCTGGCTGCACAAACCTTGTCAAACATTTAACGAGCGTGACGTGTCAACGTTTGCCTGTTGACATAACTGTCGTTATTTGCTTGGAAAGTGCGAGTCCAGGAGACCCTGTCGATCCTCTTTAAAGCATCTTCCTACGAAATACGTCTGAGCAACGAGGAATACCGTTCATTCGACTGATTTCAGTTGTTAGCACATCTTCCACGCATCGCGATATCTCTTTCTCTGTTTTCTTAGGTTTCCTCACGTTTTCGTTT